ATAGAGTTATATAGAGTTATATAGAGTTATATAGAGTTATATAGAGTTATATAGAGTTATATAGAGTTATATAGAGTTATATAGAGTTATATAGAGTTATATAGAGTTATATAGAGTTATATAGAGTTATATAGAGTTATATAGAGTTATATAGAGTTATATAGAGTTATATAGAGTTATATAGAGTTATATAGAGTTATATAGAGTTATATAGAGTTATATAGAGTTATATAGAGTTATATAGAGTTATATAGAGTTATATAGAGTTATATAGAGTTATATAGAGTTATATAGAGTTATATAGAGTTATATAGAGTTATATAGAGTTATATAGAGTTATATAGAGTTATATAGAGTTATATAGAGTTATATAGAGTTATATAGAGTTATATAGAGTTATATAGAGTTATATAGAGTTATATAGAGTTATATAGAGTTATATAGAGTTATATAGAGTTATATAGAGTTATATAGAGTTATATAGAGTTATATAGAGCATAAATCCTGTATAGATACCTTTTTTGAGGTTTTTTTTTTTCTTTGCCGACCGGTCGGCTTTTTTGCGTTTCTCTATTTTCATTTAAATTAATTAAATAAGTTTTTTCCATTTATTTAGGTTCATTCATTCAGGTTGAAGCTTTCAGAGGAGTTCATCGTGGGAGATCAGAATGGTTGTGATGTCAGGCTACGTTCGTTAATTCAGTGGCAAAGAATGCACGCCTGGCTGTGGTTCGTTTTACGTTTTTTTGCGGTTCCTTTTTTTGCCAGTTGGCTGGATTTTCCGGCTGGCGGGTTTCACCGCGGCTCGTTTCTCTATTTTCATTTAAATTAATTAAATAAGATTGTTTTCATTTTATTCATTTCATTCAGGTTGTGGCTTCCATAGGAGTTCATCGTGGAAGATATCAGACCACGTTCGTTCATTCAGTGGCAAAGAGCACACGCTTGGCTGGGATACGTTTTATTCTTTTTTCTCTGTAATTTAACATTAAGTAAGAATGCATACACGCACACATACACACACACAATTACATTAAGTAGCTATATAGGTAGGTTAGATAGGCATAATTTTAATTGTAGGTAGGATATATAGGAAGCATCCAACACTAATGTAGTTGAATAGGTAGGCGCGTAAGTTTATCGCTTCTATTTTTTCTTGCACTACATTACACGCATCAGCGTATCACATACACACACAAATACATACATATACACATATGTTAGTATTTGAGCGTAATTTTATTTTCATTACACATTCTAATTTATTATTACTAAGGTTGAGAGTAATTTAATTTCATAGGTAGTTAAGGGCAATAATGTAATTCTAGGAACAATCTTGTAATGTAAATTAAAACGCTGTGAGTGTATCGATAGGTAGGTTAATTATAAGTTTTACATTATTATTATTATTATGTTGGAGCCCAAGGCATTACGTAGGTGGTGGGGTGGGTGCCGAAAGGCCAATGAATTGGGCTCTTGAGTTTTGTAATTTTAGGTAAGCTAAGGCCGTAATGTAATGAATAGGTAAGTTAAGGCTACGTTTTAGCATATTAATAGATTTAGGGTTTAAGTTTTATATTATTATTACTAAGTTGGAGCCCAAGGCATTACGTAGGTGGTGGGGTGGGTGCCGATTGGCCAATGAATTGGGCTCTTGAGTTTTGCAATTTTAGGTAAGCTAGGGCTTAATTGTAATGAATAGGTAAGTTGAGGGTACGATTGCCGATAGACTCTGAATTTCGAAGTCTCTTGTCAGAGGTAAGCCTTGGTAGCCAGTGGTGAACCGGCAATGGTTTACTATCCGGACGGCAATGGTTTACTATCTCCACGGTAATGATTTACTATGCGGCACGACCATAGTCTACTACTCGCACGGCTTCCGGACGGCAAATGGTTTACTATCCGCACGGCAATAGTCTACTATCCGCATGGCAATGGTTTACTATCCGGTGCCCTGGCTGTCGGTGAACCTCTATGCAAGGAGGGAGAATGAAGGGGGACTTTCGACTATCGTACCATTAACAATTTAATATAGATTAGTTAAGGTAATTGAATAGGTAGATAGGATTATTTTTATTAAGCAATTTGAGATGCAGGCACCGCTAAGCTTTCTGATGAAAATTTTCTCTTTCTCCATTCCACGGGCTGTGTTTCAGCAACAATCTCGAGGAGGACTGGCACCAGTTTTGGAGGACAACGTAGGAACCGGATAGCATTCAACATTCTGCCTTTGTCGAATGGACGACGGTAAGTTTTTTTTTTACATTTTAATCTCTTTATTATTTTCAGTTATTATTTATTTGCCATTATTTCAATTTTATAATTTTTTGCTTCTAAGATTCTAACATCCATTTACTACTACGCTAATAAAAAAATTGTCTACAGAATGATAAGAGGTGGGCAGTGGTGGGAGTCAGCACGTTTCAGATGGTGGTCTCATGATGATTTACGTATGATGATGTGGTGTAGGAAGAATCAGTTCGTTGGCTGTTCGACTGACACTCAGAAGTTCGGATGAAATCTTGTGTGCCGATCTGAATGTGGTGGTCGGTGCAATGGATTGAAGTAAAGACGATTTTTGAAGTGAAGTTTAGTTTCGTTTTTTTTATTTTACTCATTCATTCATTTTTTCCCTCAATCTTTCAAATTATTCTTCCATTAATTGACGTTAATTCATTCTATTCATTCATTCATTCATTCATTCATTCATTCATTCATTCATTCATTCATTCATTCATTCATTCATTCATTCATTCATTCATTCATTCATTCATTCATTCTTTTAACTAATTATTTAATCATTCAGTTCATCATTTATTCGTTCGTTCCTTTGTTCCTTGATTTACTACTAAGCTAATAAAAATAACTTTTTACAGAATGATGAGAGGTGGGCAGTGGTGGGCGTCAGATGGTCTCATGATGACCGTTCCGATGACAATTTGATGAAAACAGCAATGACGATTTTTGAAGTATAGTTTAGTTTTTTTTTCTCATTCATTTTATCACTATCTTTCAAATTATTCCTCCACTAATTGATTCATTCTATTCATTTGTTAAATCATTTATTGATTGATTAATTAATTATTCATTCATTCAACCAATCATTCAATAATTCAGTTAATCATTTATTCGTTCGTTCTTTTGTTTCTTGATTATTTACCAACACGCTATTTAAAAAAAACTTGTCTACAGAATGATGAGAGGTGGGCTGTGGTGGGCGTCAGCATGTTTCACGGTCTCATGATGATCGTTCCGATGACAATTTGAAGATGATATTAAAAGAAAATTTGTTCTTGTCCCATCGTACCATTAAAAGTACTCGAATATGTCATCTCAATAAGATAAGTTGACTTTTTTCCAATGGCTTGTTTTTTACTTTAAAGAATTTTTTTTTCAATTTAGTGTTTTTCAGTATCCGGTCAAATTCATTCCAATGATGGTCGGTGCAATGGAGGTTCGTCCGTAGTGAGTGAAGTTTTTGGAGAGTACACGCTCGCACATTTACACACACACATCAATAAAACACACACATACACAACATCCATTCATTCGGTGTCGTTGTTGTTATGTTTTTCTTCAACTTTCTATTTTCTTTACCAGACTTAATTTAATTCGTAGGTAAGTTAGGGATTGAGATGAGTTGAACAATCGTAGGTAGGCTAGGGCTTAACATTAGTTAAAAAGTTTCAAGTAAAATAAAAACGCTGAAATATGTAAAATAAAATACCTAAAACGTAAAATTCCAAAAAAGTAGAAAAACATATTTGTAGGTAGGTGAGTTGAGTTAATGAATATAAGTAAGCTAGGGCCCTGAGAGTAATTTAATTGTAGGTAGGTGACTGACTACTATTCTTGCGACTTTTTATTAGTTTTTTGTGATGTGTTTGTTTTCGCTTCACAGCCTCAAACCAACAAAACAAACTACATTTTATTCTCGTCGTCGCCTTAAATTTTACCTTTTTGAACAATCTTTTTAATAGTGTCTATTTATTTAATTATTTATTAAATGTTAACTGGTTTCTAGTTTTTTTAATTTGGTTATATAATTTTTGGATATTTCTTGATTTAATAAAAGCAACTATTGTGTTTTTCTTTCTTTACTAAAATCTTGAAATTGTTTGTAGATCTGTACAGTTGAGTGTTTGTTCGAGTTTGAACAAGCCTTGCAAATATTTTTCAAATATGGTTCATTGATTGGTCGATTGGTTGGTTGATTAGTTGATTGAATGAATGGTTGGTTGGTTGATTGATTGGTTGATTGATTGATCTCATAGTATTGTATATATGAAAAAAAATCCGATTAAGCCAACATAAGGCTTTACTTGGCCACAGTATTTTACCAGACAAAAGCAATTTCTTTATTTATATTGACAAAAATAATTGTGAAATAAATATATTGACTTATTTAAAGCATTATATGTAAAGAAAACCGCCATGACACTGTTGTATGAGACCCAGTAAGCCACTGCAGTAAGCCAACGTATGATTCCAGCAACCATAATTTCTATGAGCACCAGCAGAATGTAAAATATTCATTGAATATAATAAAGATAGTTGTTCAAATAATAATTTTGATCTATTAAGGCGGTTTATTTCATGAGCAAACAAATTTTTAACATGATCGAATAGTGTAAAAAAAGGGTGACTTTAGTTCAATCCTACTAAGCCAACCTTCGGCTTCAGTAAAAAGCCACCGGATTTCACAGGACCAAAAGTATAATTTTTATATTCAAATTAACAACAATAATTTAATAATACATAATTTTATTTAATAAAATTATAATTTTATTTAATAAAATTAAAGAGAATTACTACAATGTTTTAAGCATATTAAGTCAAGTAAATATTTCATATAGCTTGCTCGTTAAAATCCATGCAATTTCGTAAGCCAATAATCCAAGCATGTCAAATAGCCCGACTCTTGACTCGAACGATAATAAATCACCCTCCAAATCTTTTCCGAAAGAAAACTTGTTCGACCGTTAAAAGTGAGCGAAGGCCGTTATATTTATTTTAGTTATGTGTATAGAACGACTTTCAAAAAATTAAAAATTTTTAAGTTCACTTTTAACTGATACACTTGTCAGCAAGACAATCATGGCGGCGCAAGGTTCGCCAAACGTTTTAGCGTTGATTAAAGAATTGAATTGGCTAGGCAAGAATGGAGATTATGAGAAAGCGTTAAAAGTTACAAATAAGAGTAGGTTTTTATTTTTTCACGATCGTTTGTGGCCTGTATTGTATATTATTAAAACATGTGATTTATCCATGTCTGTTTTTTATTTTGTATTGTTCCAGATGTTTTTAATTTTTTAATGTTTTTTGATTTTTTATCACCTGAAATAAAATATTTGAATTTTTGAATTTCAAAGTTCTACAAGAATTGCCTGAAGATGAAAAAGTTTTTCACTGCAAAATAGTCAGTTTGGTTCATTTGGGCAAATATGAAGATGCACTCATTGCTCTGAAAAAGAATCCAAAACTTTCAGGGTTAGTTTTTTTAAACAAAACTTCTTTTAATTTTTATTTAATTTTTTTTATATGAAAATTGAGTTTTACTTAACTATTATAATAACAAATGATAAGATAAGACTTATTAGATATTTCTTTATGTGGAAAATTATCTGTTATCTTTTATTTTATGCATTATAATATTCAAATATTATAAAGTTTAGACTTTGGTTTAGAGTATTCAGAAATTAAAGTTTTGTTAGTTCAGTACTACAAACACTAATTTTATCCAGCTCATTAAACACAAAAACACAGAGAATTATTATTTGAGAAGGCCTATTGTGAGTATAGACTGAACAGGAACGAGGAATCCATGAAGACAATCAAATTAGGAGACCCAAATGATCCAAGATTGAAAGAACTATTAGGACAACTTGTTAGATTTTTTCACATATTTGCCAATGTTATATTAAATTTAATGTACCTATTTTATGAATGAATTTAATTAATACTATTTCTTGATTTAATTTTCAAGTATTATCGCCTGGAGATGTACAATGAAAGCTTTGAGATATACAGAGACCTTATAAAAAATTCAGCTGTTAGTTTTATTTTTAGACAACTCTTTTTATGTTTTTTTTAGATCAAAGATTATAAGTAAGTTCATTCTTTTTTTCCATTCTGATAGATTTATTCCATTATTTTTCCAAATATTTCAATGATAAAATTTAAAAATAATTGATCAATTAATCAAGGGTAATTTTGAAGATGAAAGAGAAACTAATTTGTCTGCAGTTGTGGCAGCCCTCTGTCTATATACTGATGATCAAGTGGTTTGTTAATTTTTTATTTTAGATTAACATTTAATTTTCTACTATTTTAGAATCACATTTAATTTTTTACTAATTTAGATTCACATTTAATTGTTTACTTGCCAATAAGTCTCCTCAACTAAATCAATCAATAAAAACATAACTACCATTCAACAAGTTTCATTGCGCATCTCTCAAAAAGTCTTCCATTAGGTAATTAATGCACTCGTTAATCAATTGCATTCAATTCATCTATCACTAATCAGTAGTTTTGTCGGCCAATCAATCAATCACTTTCAATCAATCAATCTATTACAATGAATGAATGAAGGAGGATATCTCATTGAGGGAAGAGACATATGAATTGTGCTACAATGCTGCTTGCAAGCTTACAGGCCAAGGTCAATTTCAAGCTGCTTATGAGAAACTCAAAAGAGCTGAAGGTATATTTGACGGTGGTTATGACGATGAGTATGGTTGTAATGATGAAGAGAACTAAGATGAGGATGGTGATGGTGATAATATAAAAAAGATTGTGATGATGAAACTAATATGATGAATTTAACTCATTTGTAGAGTTGTGCAAAGAAAATTTTGGAGATGATTCGGATGCCTCGAAGGAGGAGATAGATGGAGAGCTGGCAATCATCTGGGTCCAGATGGGGTACGTGCTGCAGAGACTGAACAAGAAAGATGATGCACTGAAACTCTATAATCAAGTCGTCAAACTCAAGTTTGTGTTTTGGGTTGTTTTAGTATAGTAATGTTGGTGCTTTTGGTGTTGGATGACGTTGCTGTTGTTTAAGTTGGTGCTGCATCTATTGCCATGGGTTGCGATCAGCAAATTTTATTTTCTTAATTTTTTATAATATTGTGATAGTAAATAAATAAATAATGAAATTAACAATAGATTTTTTTAATGATTGTTTTTTTATGTGGCTATCATCATCACATCATCATCATTATTATTTGTTACATTTTCAGGCCTTTAGACCCGGTGCTGTTGGCTGTAGCTTCAAACAATATCATCACCATCAATAAGGTTGGTTTCTGATTAATTGGTCAATTTATTAATTAATTAATTGAATGAATGATTGATTGATTAAATAAATGGAGACAAATCTTTCACAATATATCTTAATTAAAGCAATATTTAACTATATAGTCTTGCTAGCTATTCTATAAAATGAATATAAAGAAATTGTAGAAATATTTGTCATGAGACTGTCTAACTTGTCAAAAACGAAGATTGATATTGATTGATTGATTGTCTAACTTGTATCTATACAGGATCAGAACATGTTTGATTCAAAGAAGAGGATTAAGGCAGCAACATCGGGAGATTTGAAGCACAAGTTGGTTAGCAGGCAGAAACAATCCATTGCTGTCAATGAATGCTTGCTGCATATGTATGCTGGACAGGTGAGTTGGTCGGTCATTCAATTTTTTTGATTGGCTTGTTGAAATGATTGAATGGATGGATTACTTTGTCTTAGTCAAATAAATTCAAGTCAATAGCTTGTTTATTAATGCCACAACACTAACATCAGGCTGACCAGTGCCACAAATGTGCCCACCTCCTCCAACAGTCTTCTTCATCATTATCAGCCAACAAGGGCTTCCTCATCGAATCCACTCAACTACTGAGGGAGAAGAATTCAGAAGAGGCCATCAAACTGCTACAGGTGTTTTTATGTGGCGTGTGTGTGTATGATGTGTGTGTGTATGTGTGTGTGTGAGTGTGACATATGTGTGGTATGTGTTTGTTTAATTATTAATTGTTTTATTATATTTTGACATCACTCTTTTAATGTTACTTAATAGGTAAATTAATAGCTCAAGTTGTCCGGTTAACTTATTTGATATATAATCGCATTGCCCACTCAGAGCAACATTGAAAAGTTGGAAGGCAAAAATGCTGACGTGCTGGAATTGAAGCTATCTCTGGCACAAATCTATTTATCTCAGGAGCATGTTTATAAGGCATGTGACGTTCTGAAGACATTGGGAGAGGACACCTATACACCTGGAGTGGTCTGTCATTCATTCATTCTTTTTCTTTCATTCATTCATTCATTCGTTTTCAATTTATTTAACAAATTTATGTCTATTTTGATTTTTGAACATTTGATTCCATGAAGTCTCTTGTAATTTTTACAATTTAAAAAAAGATTAATGGTTTTCCAATTGGCCTTCCAATTGGTTATTAGTGGAGAAGTATTTAGGTTCAATTTAGTCTTCTATGTAAATGGAATAGTAATTTGTGTGACTATTCTAAATTGTTTTTGCCTTCATATTTTTTGAATATTGTTGATAGTGACACCATGACAACACAGATATCAACGTTAGTGACGCTATACACGAGTCAGGAAGATAAGGAGGCTGCGTCGGAGATTATCAATCAGGCGGTCGAATGGTATCATAAAAATAAGGTTGTTGTTAATTTAAGCTGGTTTTAATTGCTAATTGTTTTTTATTATACTTTTATTTGATGTCATTTAATAACAAAAGCATAAGTGGACTTGGCCCTTTGTGCTTCCTCTATAATTTTAATTTATATTTTGGTTCCCTTTGATTTTGAAAAATTTATGAATTTTGAAACATGTTTGTTTAATTTTATCTAGAAGAGAGAATTTCGTCCTTTTTAGATAGCTTTTAATTGGCTTACAAAAGTTTAAATATTATAGAGTTGTATTGAATGAATTTTTGCTTCTTTTCCAAACGATTGCAAAAAAGCATATAATACCACTGGTTTCCAACAATTTTTATTAGCTATTAGTAATATTTCTGTTAAAATTCTAAATAGTTTTGCTGACACCATCATATTAAACATCATCGCAGTCCAACTCACCAGACTTAATAAGCCTTATAAAAGCCAGTTCGCAAATTCATTTGAACATTGGGAAGCCGCAAGTGGCTGCTCAGATGCTGGAGCAGATGAGGAGGTGGATTTTTATTGTGGTTGTGTGCTTGTAAATTTTGTCTCTTTATTTATTTATCTAGTCACGTCTCGTTAGTTGTTTTTCGTTTTTGTTCTTTCGAATTTTCGTTAATTTTGTTTTTTGTTGAAAGTAATGAGGATGATGATAGTAAAGTCATTCACCTTGAACAGGAACAACCCTGATGATTTGAAAATCTTAGCCCAGCTGATACTGGCATATTCTAAATTTGACACAAAAAAAGCCCAAGAGTAGGAAGGATTTTTACATATTTCACCATTAATTTTTTTTATTATTGCTACTATAATATTTATTATCGTTCATATTAATCAATGGTAAGTAATGACTCTCCAACTATCCAATCACAACGAACTGATCAATTGACATCAACCAATAAATGAACAGGATGAGCAAACACTTTCCGCCAATAGAAGAGCTGTCCCATGACATTGACCTAGATAGTTTAGAATCATCAGCGAGCTGGTTCGCCAATAAGTGGGTCAAGAAGGCTGCCAAAACGACAGAAGCCTCCCCCAGGCCGCTTACGAAGGGGTTGGATTGATGATGATGATGTTTTTTCGTTTGTCATTGATGATTGTGATTTGATATCCGCGGTTGTAATATTCAAAATTTTATTTGTAACTTATGTGTGATTCATTTGCATATTGCTGTCTGTCGTGTTTCATTCAGTCGTTTATAAATTTGCAATTTACGATGATATCAAGGAGGATGGTAATGAAAATGATATCTGAAAATGAGACGGTGATTATTTTTAAATTTCAGATCTAAAGATTTGTTTAAAAAAAGGCATAAGAAGAAGAAAAGTAGAGAAAACCTTCTTGCGATACAATCAATCATCTTTCTCCTACTCACTTTTCATTCATTCATTTTTTTTACTTCCAGTTTAACTCACTGTGTGTATATAGTCGTTCTAGCTCGTTTGCCATCCTTCTATCACTTTCCTATCCATCATTAGTTAACTCTTTTATTCCGTGAATTCATCCACATTCGTTTATCCGTCATTCATCCATCCGTCCATCCGTTACTCATTCATTGCTATTTATAGACCAATCTATCCATCCTCATCGTTCAATTACTCATCCGATAAAAAATCCATACACCGTCAGTCCTTCCTAAGAATTACGATCCGATTGTGGCTCCCGATCCGGAAAGATGGCTGCCCATGAGAGAGAGGTCTTACTACAGAGGAAAGAAGAAGAACAGGAAGAAGGATATTGGTTCGTGCTGGATCGTCTGTTCCCGTTGGGATTGACGGATGTGTTTGTTATTGAGATTGGGAAGAGTGATTAGAGTTGAATTTCAGTCATGGATGATTTTGATTTAGATGGATGGATAGCTGATTGGAAGGGTGATCACATTTGATGATTGAAATGAAGTTGAGTTATATAGATAGGCAATTGTTATTAGACTGGATAAATGTGATTGGTTGGACGATTTTGTTTAAATCTTTAATCAGTTAAGTCTGTGATTGATTGATTGATTGATTGATTGATTGATTGATTGATTGATTGATTGATTGATTGATTGATTGATTGATTGACTAATTAACGTTACAATTCATGTAGGCAAAGGTACGCAAGGATCAGTTTCAACTGTTGTTCCTGGGCTGTAAGAATTTTTTTATTTTTTTTTTCAAAATGTTTGATCTATTTTCGCATATTTTTATCGTTCCTTTTAGTTTCTTATCAGACTCTAACTCTTTCAAGAAGTGGTTTTTCAAATAATTCATACTGAAAATTTATTTCATATTTTCTTTTTTCCAGAATAATCTTACAAAGTGTCTATCGCCTCTTTCTATTGTATCACATTAATATAATCTTTTCAACGTTCTGTACTTTATTTGAGATAGTTATGAATTAATTGTGAATTAATTATTTTCTCATTCTAGTTAATCTAAATTTTCCGTTCGGCAAATAGGCTTTTGTATCCTGTAAATTTTTGATCTCTGAAATAAATATAAATAGAATTTTCTTAGATGTTTGTGTCAATGGCACAACCGGATGAAATTTTGAAATATGAAATAATTTACAGGGATGCATCTGAGGGAAGTCATTTGCACGGGGGAGACGTTGGCTCGCCGAAAGTTAATGTCGCCGGTGCAGCCCAACAACAAGCTACAAATTTGGCCGTCAATCCGAACGCCCCGCGACAACAAAAACCCGCTGCTGCCGCTAAACAAAAGCCTAAAAAGAAGAAAGGCATAAAATGGTGATGAAGATGATGATGGTGAGGATGAGGATGATGACGATTATGATGGTGATGGTTTTTGATGGGATTATGACGACAATAGGATGAGATGATGAGACGTATCGTGGTTTTGATAACGGTGATGGCTGGCGGTGAATATTCTAGTTGTAATAGGCTATACGGTATTGTCAGTAAATTGTATTATTCTCGTGATGACTCATCTGATGTGGTTGTGACTTTTATGATCTGCAGTTTTGGGTGGAATAATTAATATGAAACGTTAGGAATTTATTCTAATTAATTTACTTGTTGATAACAACGTCGTTAAACATTAGATTTTTCGTTGTTATTCAGTCAACACAGCAAATATTGAATTGAATATAGTGTACTTTTGTTTGTCCTGTCTTGCGTTTTTCTAAAGCAAGATTAAACAAAAATTAGTGTCTACTTCGTTTTAATAAAAATAAAATAGATAAAAATGGGTGCAGCGCTTTCATTTAGGTTCTTTGAAAAACGAAATTATATGAAGTTTAAAGTAAAATTGCGAAAAAGTTTTCCGTAAAACACCGCTCATTCCAAATAAAGATTAACGTGAAAAGATTACAATTAACTGCCTAAAATAGGATGAATATTATATACCATATCAGCAATTAATCTAACAAAATTTCATGGAATGTAGAGCGCTTTTCTTTTCAAAATAACATTAAGGTGTGTCACATTATGATGGGAGGAGTCGTCATTTTTAAATGTCCTTGGAGTCAACGTGTTTACTGGGAAAGCAAATGTTTTCCATACATTTATCTTTAAATACGTTTATGTACTCATATAGCTACATAGTCATGTCATATTTATCAATAAATGAACTATGCCATCAATTCTATATAATGCAAAAAGTATACAAGCACAAGCCACACATATAGGTGGTTATATAAAAATACACACACACATATATATATATATATGTATATAATTTAAATTTTAATTGATATATGTATATATATATCTGTGTTCTATATTATTAAATATATGTATATACATATACATTATTTTATCTATTGCGTAACTAATTTATTTTAAATGGTTCCGCTCTTAATATCGTCTGCACGAATTTTGCTCTGCTGGTTTTTCGAGTTTTGCGTTTCAGATTGTTAAGATATAAAATCGAATAAATTCATATAAATTATAAAGTACTAAAATTAAAGAATCGTTTGTTAGTTGTCGTCTTCCAAATGTTTTTAGGGATTAGAAGTAGAATTTTGGTTGTTATTCCATTGTCCATAATTTTGATTCCTTGGGAACACAAGCTAGTTAGTGGAGGATTAGTTGGAAACGATGATACCCTCACAACCGTTTCACCTCCTCCGGATGATCACGCTGTTCCTGTAATTATTTGCTTGTTTAGTTTTTTTTAAATTTAACATTTAGTATTATTAGTAATTAGTAAGTTCCACTTCAAATTAATTATTAAATTCTTGCTGTTCTAAATTTTTAAGAGTTGAATATACTGGGCTTATTTTAATTTAAAAGTTAAAATACTTTAGTTTAGAGAGAGTAGAAACTCTTTTGTTCATGACTGATGAATTTTTTTCAATATTTTTATTTAATCTAAGTAACTTTTTCTCATACAGTTTTGGGTATGTCCTCAAATGGCTTGCCCCACCTTGAGATCAGATTGTACTGTGAGTGAATATGTCAGCAACTGGGTGACCTACTTGAGTGCTGACAGGGTGGTGAATTATTATGAATGCAAGGGCTGTCCATACTGCATACGTCCAGTTCCCAGGCCCATAGACAAACGAGATGTCAATTCATTTTCTAGGCTTTTTTTCAAAAAACGAAAAACTAAGTTATAATTTACTTTGTGACAAACATTTCAATGTTTTTTTATTCCACAGGCAGGTTACTCTAATATCTATCTATTTTAAAGAAAGTGTTAATGAATGTTATGTTAATAGAACAGTTTTCAGTATTTTTGTTGACTTATTTACATTATGGTATATATCTTTTGCTTAATTTCGAAGTCAACTTAAAACTTATTTATTTGCACAATGAATGTCCGTCTTATTTGTCTATGATTTAGTATCGCTTTTGAGATTCAACAATAAAAAAGCGTTGTATATAAATTTCCGTAATAATAATAATCCTTTAATTTACTAAAGTGGTAAAATTCTGTTTTAGGATCTTTCATATTTATGCTAACAATTTGTGTCATGTAACCTAGATATCTACTCTTAGTTTCTCCCTAGTTTTTGAAGCTTTAAAGCAGCATTTTTTTAAAATGAATATTATTGTTAATTTTTTTATTTTGAAATTAAACATTTTTACGTTGTTTTGAATAGAGCAGGCAGCATTTGATAGATTGTTTTGATTATTTTTTTAGACAATTTATCTTTTAATGTTCATTTGTATGTTTATGTATATGTACAATACAACTAAAAACTGGAAGATGTGTTTTACATCATTTCCTTATGGTAGTCAAATATTTTTTTTATCATATATATATATATATATATATATATATATATATATATATATATATATATATATACATATATATATATATATATATATATATACATGTACAAATGTTATTGGTATTATTATTATAGTGTGACTTAATGTAGAAATATATTTGAATTTGAATATGGCAAATATGCAAATCCCACATCTTGAATTGTGTATTGTTTCTTTTTTCAATTTACAAAGCTATCCAAAGTTGTTCACGTAGCTTAACTTTTTGCTTTACTTACTCATCCATTAAGAATATATATTAAAAATATATATCAGGAAACATTTGTAAAAGAAAGCTTTACGATTTTAAAATTTAAATTTTAATAACTCAATAAATTGAGAATGTAACGCCTATATTATATCAAAATGTATATCGAGCTAATGTTCATTGCGCTGATTTATAGTTAAAAAGATTATGGTACTGTAAATGTCTATCTAATATATACTTTCATTGATGTGTTTTAACCTAGCTAATCAATCACTGAGCGAACTTTTTAGAAAGATTTTAGAAGGATTTGATAATACCCATGTTTTTGGAACGTTTGTTGAACCAAGATTTGATTTGAGCGTGGTCGTATAGAAAATGAGGATTGCAGATTTTCAGTTTGGCTGTGGTCAATTAAAAAGAAATTATCGTAAAAGTTTAATTGGTTTAAATTAAAGGAACTAAAATTAAAGTGATTATCTTACAGAGGAACCGCGCTGGCTGTTTAATTATTTAAATAGAAATTTTAATAAATTGGAAAACCATTATATTTGTTTATTCATTTTATTTAATTTATTAGACCCAAATTTTCAATGTTGACAGCAAAATTTCTACTTTTTACGTTTTAAAACGAATACTTAATTGTTCTCGCTAAATTGCAGAGAACAAAACCGGATTTCCTTAGAGCTGGAAGTGCCCAGTAGGCATTTGTCTCATGTTGGAGCCTGGCTGCGAGAGAGCCATATTCACTCGCATGTTTTTTAGAGACGTTAATCAAAGTGGTGAGCCGGTCAAACGCGTATGTAATTGAGAGTACTGTGAGTGCCAGCCAACAAGCCTTAAACGATTTTTTGTACATTTTCAGTCTAAACGTAATCTCTGTCGTGATTCAATCAAGCAAATTGGCGCCTAACAAAAATTAATAACGTTTATTTCATAATTCGATTTTTATTGTAGTTTTTTTTTTATTAGAAACTTTTCTTATTGTATTTTTATTCTTGTATTTATTGGATTGTGAGTGATTATAAAAAAATTCATAAAAAAATACAACATGAAATAACATGAGTTAAAATTAGAAGTGACCTGCTAAAGCTGTTAACGTCAAGGTTTAGATATTATAGTTCAAATTAGGTATTATAGTTCAAATCCTATAACGCACATCATAAAGGGTTCTTTGCTGGCACACGTTGTTTATTTTTTATTTTGTGATAACTAATTATCGTGATCGTGGTTCCTTAAATTTTTTCCTCCGAAATATTATATTTTCTTAACTAAAAAGTTAGCGACCAAAACATGTCAGTTTAGTATGGAATTTTTTACTTAAATTGTTATAATTAATTAATGATTTTGGCTAATTATTTACACCCGATTACACACAAAAAACCATATGCTCATTGTTTTTTCTACATTTTTTGGTTTTTCCCTTTCATGTGGGTTTTCAATACCTTCTGCTTTTTACTTTTCAATTATATTACTTGAAATTTGTCAAATTTTAAAGGTCGACCACTATGACTAAAGTCACATTCAAAATAATTCTAACATCCGATCCCAAGTTACCATACAAAGTGTGAGGAAATTATTTATATTTTACTATAAATATAACAGCTATTTGTTTTAAATTTAATTTTATATGCAAAAATAAATCTAAGCGAGCAGTCATCCAAGGATTTCTATTTTTTATGTTTCAACATTTCCAAATTTTTTTCAGTTTGAGTGTTCCTGAACAAACACCATTCACAGCTGTGCTTAAATTTGCTGCAGAAGAGGTATGCTTTTTACATTCTGTTATACTTGTAATAGACATTTATCTCAATAAACATGTTATTTTCTATTAAATCAGAATTAAATAAATTATCTTACTTTCAAAATGATTGTTCTATTTTTATTAATTGATAAATTTATAATAAAATTTCTCATCTGAATATGATATAATATAATTAATTTCCAGTTTAAGGTTCCATCAGAGACCAGTGCAATAATAACAAATGATGGCATTGGGATAAACCCTGCACAAACTGCTGGTGTGTGGTGACAGTTTATTTTTTTTTAATTTTTATTTCAAAATCATATAATTACTAATAATAGTAACATGATTTTTCAATTAATTTTTTTAGGTAATGTCTTTTTAAAGCATGGTTCAGAGTTAAGATTGATTCCAAGAGACAGAGTTGGTCATCTGCATTGAGATCAATATTTAATTATCAACACCACCACTAATATTCAAATTTGTTTTAATTTTTATGTTTATTAAACTATTATTATTGTAAGAATTGTTTATATTTTGCTTATTATTTAGCTCTACTGGTTTTCATATTCATTGTAGGAAATTACGTTGTTGTATATAACCCAAGAGTTAAATCTTATGTAAATGACCAAAATAGTTATTTAGTCTTCTGATAATTCTGCTAAATTTTATTCCATTATATTGAGTTGTTAATCTATAACATTGATTTATGTTGTTGCTCAATGATAACTTATTAATTGTAAGGTAGATAAGAGCAGTCAAATATTTTAAATGAATTAAAGTAAAATGTCCCTCTTCTGTTTGTTGTAAGCTCAACCAAAATAATTTTAGATGAGATTTGTTATATGATAACATGTTGTTACAAGGGCAGGTCCAGATATATCATTAATCAAATTAATAAATAATGGAAATCGTTGAAAAGCTTATTAATTTTAACAATTTGATTAATAACCTAAGTAACGTTATAATCATACTTGAGAAATATTTAAAAAATGGAGCGAAATGTTGGAAGGTATGACGTTTGCTTCTGTTCGATTGAAATTGAACATTATCACGTTTAGTAAAGCCACCTCCTCTACTGTTAGCAATTCGCATCTTCTGATAATTAATATACAATAATATTTTAACTGATTTATGTGTAACATACAATGAAAACTAAAAACTGCTGTTCAATTCAAATCATAAATATTTTAAAATAACTAACAAGCATGCAGGCATTTATTGATAAAATGTTTTGACTTTCCATACTTATGTTTTGACTTTTCAGACGAATTTTTTATAAAAAATCTAGCCTGCCTGGTGATATAAATTTTGTTTGTTTGTTACGGACACTACGTTGGTTAAGATGGCGTGGGGATTCTAATACGGAATCAATTAAGGTTTAAGTAATGTTGAGGATTTGAACCAAACAATCGTCTGCCACATTTGTTTAGGCAGGGTTTTATTACTTTTTCAATTTTTTCTCTTCCAAGCAAATCTTCATCATTTTAATTTGATTTTTTAAAGTTTTTTAATTAAATGAGGAAGAAAAGAACTCACTGAAAAAACAAAGTTCAATTAAAATTAGTAAAATTTTTTGCCAGCTGTTTGGGACTGATTTAAATTGTATAGATAAATCATGGCTGTCGCAAATAAAATAAAAGGAATCGTAAGCAAGAACAAGAGGAGGCTTCAGGAAGATGGATTTGATCTTGATTTGACTTGTTTGTAATAATTTGTTATATATATATTTTTAAATTATTCTATTTATTTATAATATATTTTAATTTTGATATAAAAAATGATACAATTGATCTGTTTTGTATACAATGGCCTTAAGGCTATAATTTCTTATTGAGTCTCTCTAACTAAATAAATTATTAAGTTGAAAGATTGTTTTTTAATACAACAAAAGAGTTTTTTTAAATTTTAATTAATTAATTGTTTAATTATGGTTCAAAATTTAATCAGTTAATAAAAACTGACACAAAATCATAACTGAATAAAATAAATAAAACAATATTTCAAAGACATCTACCCTAATATCATTGCTATGGGCTTTCCGGCCGAGAACTTTGAAGGCGTTTACAGAAATAACATCCACGATGTCGTCAGGTTATCTATTTTTATCTGCACAGTTTATCTAGTGTTTCTTTTATTTAATTTTAACAATTTTAATTATTAAATTTTATATAATTTTTATGTATTTTATATAAAATTTTTCAAAAAGAATGTGATCCTTAAACTTTGTAAGTTCTTAATGTCAGATAGAATAAAATATAGATTTGATATAATTTTTCTTAGTCTCTTGTCTTAATACTTGTTCTTACTTATATTTGTGATAATAATTTGATAAAAATTCAGTGAAAAACATTTGAAACTTTTAATTTTATTTAAACTTATAAAAATATTCTCAATAATATCAATGTTATTCTGGTTAATGTCTCTTACAGTACTTTATATACATAGATCATATATACTGGTATTTTTCTTTTGATGTAATACATTTCCCATAGACCTAAGCTGACATTTGTTTTTTACAAATTTATTCTTTAAAATTTCATCAAAAACTTTTATTAAAATGCTTGCATACATCATTAACGAAAAACACACTATATTATTCAATTCTATAATTTTCCTATAAAAACACTGATAATTTTCACATTTGGTTATTATTCATAAAAATATAATTTTGAAACCAAATTGATCTTATAATTGTATAAAATTTTATTTTATATTTGACTTCTTTCATATGCGATATACTTTATCGTATATAATGTTAATCTACAATTCAATACTGTGATTCTATGTGGTATATTTTATATAAAATGTTCTGTATTTTAGCCTATATAAATGGTATGATATGGTATAGAATAAATATGATATATATTACTTGTATTTTTAAAATTCAAGAAATTATGATTGTTAGAATTCATTTGTCTATGCAAATAAATTAGAGATTGTTAATTTAATAATAAAAAAAATTAAGCATACAATTTGTAGTTTTTTTTTATAATCTAATAATAATCATGATGTTATATATTTTTCTTATTTTATTAATTGCATGTTAAACTTTTGAAAAGAAGTTCTAAAGCATTTTAATTTAATTTAAATATGTCTGTGTGTCTTATTAAGTTATTTTTAAAACTATATTTTTTATTTTTTCACTGACATCAAAGGTTTTTAGACAGCAAGCACAAAGACCATTACAAAGTATACAATCTGTAAGTTTGTATGTACTTGTATATATGTATATGTTTCTATGTCTGTATATATGTTTGTATGCTTGCATGCATGTTTGTATGTATGTTTCTATGCCTGTATATATGTTTGTGTGATTGTATTCATGTTTATATGTATGTGTATGACTGTCATTGTATGTATGTCTGTTGGTTGTTTTAAATAATACACTTTTGTATGATAGATGGATGGATAAATGAACTAACTAATAGATGAATGAATTCTTACTCTCTTTTTTTGTGTGTGTACTAACATAAAGAGAGAGAGAGAGAGAAAGAGAGAGAGAGTGTGTGTGTTGGTGCGTGCCTGCGTGTGTGTGTGTGGGTGTGTATATATATATATATATATATATATATATATATATATATATATATATATATATATGTGTGTGTGTGTGTGTGTGTGTGTGTGTGTGTGCGCGTGCGTGGTGTGTGTGCATAAAGTAGGGGCATGGTTATTGTAATGACCTAAAGATATATTAATTATTCCCACCTAATTATTTATATATAGGCGTCTGCTTAGTGCTTTGGATGATGATGAATGATGATGGCATAAAAATGATTGATATATGGTACCTGCGTTTGCTGATAACATCAAACTACTAACTAAAGTGTGCGCTGCTCAATTATATAAAATACGTTCTATAAAAAAACAATCACGTTTTTATGGGAGATTCACGTATTACCTTCACAACATCATCTTCGGTATGTAATGCGAATGACGAAAATGTTTCACCATCCTTGGTTTGCCTTTTTGAATAGACTGTAACTTGGAAAACAATTGATGTGTGTGTTTGTGTGTGTGTGTGTGTGTGTGTGTGTGTGTGTGTGTGTGTGTGTGTGTGTGTGTGTGTGTGTGTGTGTGTGTGTGTGTGTGTGGATATTTAAGGTGTGTATTTATTTCAGTGCTATTTTTTAGAACATACCTCAATGTAATGTGCGCTTGTGTGTGTGTGTTGTGTGTGTTCGTGTGCGTGTGTGAGCGTGTGTGGATTGTACTTTTTATTTTTTGAACACCTTTTTTTGTAGAATAATTAATTGGAGTAATAACATGTACTGTATCTACAATAATGACACGATATTAATTGTGGATTATGAAGATAATAAAGATGCTGATGACGACGAATGGTTTTGTATATTAATTTTGATGATGATAATGATAATGTGATGCTGATGACCGTAAGGGAAAAATAGGATTTTAAGACGGAAGTTAAAATGTGCGTGAGTTAAAATGTACGTCAATCAATTGATGATGAAATTTCAAAATGAAATATACAATAGTATGGTGTGTAACATATTTTGACGAATGATGAATTTGAAAAGTGTCCACAAAAAAATAGTAATAAGACGATGATGAACATTGAGGATGAGTGCAAACAAGGCACTCATACATTCACAGACCCACCCACACATACACACACGCACACAAACACACACCCGCGCGCGCAGATGTTCAGAGAGGAGCTACAACAAAAGCCGCTTCCACCACAGAGTGGAGTACTATCCCTTCAACGACCACCATCCACCTCCACTGGAATTACTAAAACCTTTTTGTGAAGACGTCGACAAATGGCTATGCCAGCATTGCCAGAATGTAGCTGTGATTCACTGCAAGGCTGGAAAGGTGAAGGACGCTGATGATGACGACGATGATGATAGTGATGATGATAGTGATGGTGATGAAGATGATGTTGATGGAGATAATGATGATGATGAAGAGTACGGTGATACTGATGATGTTGAAGATTACAATGAAGATGATGATGATTGAGATGATTATTATGATGAAAGAGATGGTGATGATGATAAAGAAGGAGACGAGGTTGTAGTATTGTTGGTGATTGTTGAGTAAAATAATAATAATAATAATAAAAGTAGTTGTAGTTGTAGTAATAATAATATTAATAATGATAAAGATGAGATGATGTTATGTCAGGCCTTGCCAATATTTTTTCTGATGGTATGGCTTCTTTTTTATAAAGTAGGGGTCTTTTAAAAGTTCATGGATCATCATTGGTGATGATGGTGGTACTATAAATTGTCATGATGTGATTAGTAGAGATTAGAATTACAAAGATTAAGAGATCAAGATTAGTATGGATTAGGATTACAAAAATAGAGAGATCAGACAGATTGACACTCAACTCAGTTATTGAGTAGAGTGAACATTTTTCATTTGAATAGCTCCATTTCTCAACTAGTGTACTTTCAAGCATTATTGTTTATTGGTCATAAATTCAATTCAACAGGTGAATAACTTACTAAATAAACAAATTTTTTTATTCAAATTTTAGTTGCCTTGTTTAAAATATATCAATATACAATACATACACGATACATTATGATACGATATACAATTACCATATACCTTTATGATATACAATATGATATCATACCATACAATGCATGCTTCAAGCTTCAATGTATATATTTTTTGGTTCAATTCAAATAATGGGGAGTGATGATGAAATAGATTGGTTGATTACTAACCTGGCCATTTTATGATGGTGATGATGGTGATGGCGGAGGTCGGGGTAATGATAGTGATGATGATGATGATGGTGATGATGATGATGACGATATTTATGGCTGACGTTGAATATGATGCTGACATCAAGTGACATCAATAATAATTACGAATATGAAGATCGTTGCAATGATGATGGTGAGTGTTAAGTTGTTACATTTATTGAGCAGGTGTTGATGGTTTATAATGTTGTCTTTTCTATATTTCATCTATATCAAATTTACATATTTTAACTATTATCATCATCGTCGTCGTCGTCATATCATCTCGCCATCGTCTATAAAAGATGTCATCACAAACATCTTCGTCGACATCATCATCATCGTCATTAAGGAATATCACTACAAACCCATTCACCAACGCCATCATCGTCATTAAAAGACATCCTCACAAATACCTTCATCAACGTCATCGTCATTCACCATCGTCATTATCACCAACATCTTCACCAACGTCTTTATCAAAAGCATCATCACAAATACCCTCATAAACGTCATCATCGTCATCATCTTCATCGCAAACGTCATCATCATAGGGCCGGACAGGGGTCATGGTATGCTCATACCTCTTACACAGGGAAAAGCATAAGACCGCTGAGGAAGCTTTGAGTTATTATGGGGAAACGAGAACAAGGAATAAAAAAGTTTGACTTCGTTTTGCTTGTTTTTATGTTGTGTCGTTGTTTGTTTGTTCGTTTGTTTGTTTAAGTTAATTTATTGTTTAGATTTATATTTTCTTTTGTGTTTTTTTTTGGTTTGTTTGTTTAAGTTTTATGCTGATGATGCTCTATGTCTTAACGTGTTTATGTTTACAATAGAATGATCGTGCTGTTATTTTTGTTGTTGCTGCTATCTGGTTGGCATGTCTGTTGAAAATTTAAATCATTAAATGTTTAGGAAATTTTGTAAGTTGATGAATAACAATTAGTTTTGTTTATTATTGTTGTTCTCCAAATTATCACTATTGCTATTAATTATTATTATTATTGTTATTATTATTATTACTACTATTAATGTCATTATAATTAATAATATCATTATAGTTGTTTGCGTTATTGTAATCATAGCCATTGCATATTGTATTGTAATTACTACTATCCAAATTACTAAAACAATTATTTTTCATAATTTTAATCTCTCGCTTAATTATTCTTATGTGGAAACTCTTTCAGACTGTTCATCATTTGTAAAAACTCTCAAAAAACACACAAAAAAACAATGATTCACAGACGCACAATCGTACACACACACACACACACACACACACACACACACACACACACACACACACACACACATAAATAGACATAGACACACTTATATTTCCCTTTCCTATCCAAATAGGGAGTCACAATTCCGAGTCAAATTAGGTATGTGAAGTACTATGGACATCTTGTGGCCAATCAGCTGACCTACCAGCAAACTCCGCTCGTACTTATGACCATTAGGATCCAGCCCATTCCTATTCTTAATGGAGCTTCCTGTTGTACGTGTTGTATTATTTTTATTTGTGTGTACTATATTTTGCAGGAATAATAATTTTTTTTTTATTTTTAGATATTTTTTTCTCATTGTTGTTTATCTCTGTTTATGTTAATTGTCATCTGTCTGGCAGTGTTTCTTAGCGAACTCCAAGTTTGAATAGATTAATTAGTTTTTTTTTCAAGAACAGACAAACAAAACAATGAATTTGAGTTAATGAAGCCAGTTAATAAATAAACATTTTCTCTTGGTGCACTAGTTAGAAAGATTCACCTACCAAAAAGATTGGATCACTAATTACTACTACTACTTCTTCTTTTGATGATGATGATGATTATTATTATTATTATTATTATTATTATTATGGAGATGATGATGTGTGTATGGGGTGATGTAATTTGAAATAGTGGCGATGAGGACAACGACGACGACGATGGTGATGATTGGTTTTCCCTTTAAATTTTTGCATATAGAAGCGCGCAATTTTTTTTCTTTTGTGCAGATTTGTACGCTACTCCAAAAGTATATACATATTATAAATATACCACTAACAACAACAACAACACACGTTTAGACGGCATTTTCCCCGAGATCGGGGGTTGCCGTTTGGCTACCTATGATGAAACCGAAATACCCCTCGACTCCATCCACATCTGTCACTCGCCTCAGTATCACGCAACCCCGCTTTCACCCTGTCCTTCTCCACCTGCTCTCTCCATCCCAATCGCGGACGACCCCTTCCTACCACTCCTTCAACCTCGAACTCCAACGCTCGCCTAATCCCGACCCTTTCATCCCTTCTCAACACATGTCCATACCACCGCAATCTCGATCTCCTTATCAATGTCACAATATCCTCATTCAGTCCCATCATTGACATCAGCTCTGTACTACTCCTCCTATCCTTCACTTTAACCCCACACATCATCCTCACCATAGCTCTTTCAGCCCTCTGCAGTACACTTTCCTCCTCTCTCCTCAACACCCAAGTTTCACCACCATATATCATCGCTGCTCTCACACATGCTTTATATACCCTCCCTGTCATCTTCACTGACCATTTCTTTCCACACAATACCCCACCCAGTTCCCTAAATTTCATCCATCCCACACGAACTCTAGCCGTAACTGCGCTCAAACATCCTCCATCCGCATTCAGCTTATCCCCTAAGTAAACAAAGCTTTCCACTCTTTCAATACCATCACTCAACCCCGTCCTTGCGTCCGTCCTATTAATCACACCATGAACACATTTCTTACATTTGAACGTGCCTTCCACCTTTTTCAGTGCCCCCCTCACACCACTACATCTCTTATGCACCCATTTCTGACATCCTATACACAATACCGAGTTAGCCTTCACTCTCCTATCACATACCCCACAGGGGTCTATTTTACTTATCACTCGTTCCCCACCTTCCCCACTCACCATTACCTTCGTGTTACCAATATTAACTTTTAACCCTTTCTTTTCAATAACACTTTTCCATCTGTCAAATTTTAACTGCAATTCTTCCATGCTATCAGCCATCAAGACTAAATCATCTGCATACAAAATCTCAAATAACAACCCCTCCATTATGTTTCCACACACAACATCCATCACAATTGCAAACAGAAACGGTGATAACACTGATCCTTGATGCACTCCTACCTTAACACTAAAAGCGTCCGACATCCCCCTTCCAACCCTCACCTTTGTCTTTGCCCCTTCATACAGCTGCATCACAGCTTTAACAAGTCTCTCATTCACTCCTTTCTTCCTCAACGCCCATTCAATGACCTTCCTCGGTACTCGATCAAAAGCCTTTTCTAGATCCACAAAACACATGTACAATCTACGTTTCTTCTTTCTATAATTCTCCTGCAACATTCTCGCCATGAACAACGCATCCACCGTTCCCCTACCAGGCATAAACCCACACTGCATTTCATTAACTGTCACCATACTTCTCAACCTCCTCTCAAGCACCCTCTCCACTACCTTCATTCCGTGCTCTAGTAATTTCACACCCCTGTATGACCCACAATCTCTCACATCTCCTTTGCCCTTATACAACGGCACCAACACACTGTGTCGCCAATCCTCAGGTATACCTTCATCATCAAACATACTGTTAGCAATTCTCATCATAACTTCAATTCCTATCACCCCACTCGCTTTAATATGTTCAGCCGCCACTTCCGAAACCCCTGTCGCCTTACCTAGTTTCATTTCTCTAACTGCTTTCTCTACTTCCTACCTCGTCACTTTCTCTATAGGTCCGTGTGTGACCGCGGATTCCACATCTCCATCCCACTCATTCTCTTCATTCATCAACCTTTCCATATGAGCTTTCCACACCTGAGCTTTTTCCTCCTCATCTATGCACAACTTGCCAGATCCATCCCAAACACATCCATTCCCTATAACATCTTTCCTATCCCTCATTGACTGCTTTGCTACTTTGAACATTTTCCTCGAACTCACATCAGATTCCATTTCCTTCATTAACCTATCTGATGCTTTCGTCATTGCAGTTGCCACTGCCTGTTTTGCAACCTTCTTAGCCTTCCTATACTCAGACTCCGCTTCCTCCGTCATGTCCCTTCTCCATACCCTAAACCTCTCCTTCTTGACTTCCAAAACCCTTCTTATATCTTCATCCCACCACCACGTCTCACCATGCCTACACTTTCCTTTCGTCCATCCACATACTTTA